GAGCCTGTCGGCGAGCTAGCCGTGACAAACGAGACCACCGGCCACCGATCCATCTCAACCTTCAAGGCCGGTGGCATGTTCTCCGGTCGCAGCGAAGAAGTCTCCACCCGCACCGTCGACGCAAACAACAACCCCGTACCCCTCGGCTTATCTGGCTCCTGGCCCTCCTCGCTTACTCTCACTCGCGACGGTAACCCCACCGGTAACACTATCTGGGCTGCCGGCTCGCTCGTCCCCTCCGCGCCGAAGCATTACGGTCTCACAACCTTTGCGGCCACTCTGAATGAAATCACTTCGATCGAGGATAAGCATTTGCCTGCCACAGACTCCCGTCTGCGTCCTGACCAGCGCGCGCTGGAAAACGGTGACCTGGACCATGCGGAGGAGGTTAAGGTGCAGCTTGAGGAGGGACAGCGTGCGCGCAGGCGCGAGATGGAAAATGCTGGGAAGAGTTGGATTCCGCGTTGGTTTACGCGGGTCAGTGATGACTCTGATGGGGAGGTCGCTTGGCGGCTTAAGGGTGGGAAAGATGGATATTGGGAAGAGAGGGCTAGGGGGAGCTGGTCTAACGTTGTGCCTGTGTTTGAGGTTTAAAGGGTTAGATTGGGTAGTTGTTGATGTTGGTTAACCTTTTTTGGTTGTTCTATTGGTTTTGGACTATCGGACATGTGCGACCAAGAAACTATACAGGAGAGATGGGACTTCGCTCTGTGAGCGAGGTGTTTTGGGCAGGACCTTCTTCACTCTATAGAAATAAATGCTGATTTTTTCTTCCTTGGACATACATGGTGGTATTGCGTTAATTGGATTCCAAAAGAGCATTTACTTGATGCAATATCGTTTCGTCAGGCACAATGTTCGAGTATTGAATCATGAAAAACAAGTCAACTAAATATGTACATACATAAATTAAGACCTCAAAAAAGGAACAAACAGAGAAACAGAAGAAAAATTGAACTGAAAAAAAGCTCACAAACCGAGGCTTGTGCGAAACTGAAATCCTCCATGTAGCAAAATAAGCCTAAGCTGTCGTATCTCAGGTCGATAATTGAAGGAGTGAGAAGCACCTGATTCCTTTTGTCCATTCCATTCCCGACCACCACCAATGAGAATGCGAGGTACAGGTTTACTCGTCCTCATCATCGGATTGATGAGTAGTCCAGCGACGCGAGTTACGCATCTTGGCTGCCTTGCGTGCACTCTGGCGATCCACTGAGCCGTGACCTTGGTTTGCCATACGCATCATGACAGGAAGACTGTTGAGAACCGAGCGGTTTCCCTGGAAATAGTGTTCAGGAAAGCCACCTTGCAGGATGCGGCGCAGGGCAGTCAGTCGCACCCACTTCCACCAGCGGTCGATGGTCATGACTCCGTGGCGGCCGATCTTGACGGTGAGAGTGCTGCCATAGTGGCGGTTGGTGTTCTGGTCGATGGCAGTGTTGTAGCGAGGACCGCGGCGGGGGTTCTCAACAGTGGTGAGGATCGAGGCGAAGTTGCTGTGGAGTGACTTCTTGTCGCGCTTGCTGATCTGCTTGCCGTGGATGGTGGCCAGGCTTCGAAGTTGGCTCTCCAGCTCGGGAGTGTTGTGGTAAGCGTTGTATCGTTTCACGAGCTTGGGACCGGAGGTGGGATTGTTGTCGTGTTCGTGCTCGTCGCTGTCGTCGTTTGAATCTATACTCTCCTCGTCTTCGTCATCCTCTTGGGGGCTGTAGCTCTTCTCATAGAGTAGGGCGATGCTCTCGCCTGCTGCGATCTGCACGTTGGAATCAGAGCTATCGAGCTGATCCATAAAAATCTGGACCGCTTCTTCGCTTTCTTCCTCGAAATTGCCGACGTCAGTGGCGAGGAATCCCCATTGCTGGAGCGCGGCGGTCACAACGGTGGGGTCGTCTGTGGCATCAATGGATTGGCCGTCAGAAGCGATGATATCCAGGAGGAAACCCATCTGTTCAAGAATGCCATCTTCACCGGCACCTCCGAAGATAGTGCATGCCCCGAGGCAGTGAATAGCGGCTGTCTTGACAAGAGGAGAGGCGGAGTCACGGATGGTGCGGATGAGCAAGGGCTCGGTATTTTCATAGACGGTATTGTCGAAAGCTGAGATGACAAGCAATTCGATAGCGCGCAGGCCAAGGGTTGCTTCGCGCACACTGGCCTCGGTGCGGATGCTTCGCTCAAATGCCGCCAGTAAGTCTGGAACGGCGCCGTGAATTTCTTCTACTGTGTAGTGATATTTGGTCAGACGGCAGAATGATTGCAGGGCCTCCTCGCGGCCTTGGACGCTGCTGCGCTTGCGATCGAGAATTTCTTGAATACGCTCGCCGAGTTCATGTTCCCAATCGGGATTATCTTGTTCGGGGTTCTCATCGTCGAGAGATCCGATGCTATCCCAACTTGGTTAGCGCCTTGGTAAGACTGGCCGACATCATTGGTGACATCATCCAGTCACGGGAGTGGGGACCAGATGAAGATGCAAAAAAAAAGGAAAAGACAAAAAGATAATGAAGACAGAAGTTGCAAGGGCTTATATATGCTTACCTCATAGATGTCTCATCAGAAAGAAATCCTGAGTCTTCCTCGTCCGAAGGAGCTCTGCTAGCATTGCGAGAGCCCTGGCGTGAAGTCTGCTTCGAACTAGTGGGGGAGTTGGTGCGGGATGCTTCACGGGATGCTGCCTTGCGCGAGACAGTCTTGCCGCTCTCAAAGATCTGGCGACGTAGATCGGGCATTTTGACTATGAGATGATGGGAAGAATGTTCTTGATAAGGGATGGAGTAAATTAGGGAGCCCAGCGTGGGGCGAGTAGTTGAAAGTATCAAGCCGATTAAAGGTTGTTTTTAACCTATGGGTACTGGACAATAGTCGAGAATTAGAAGAGAAAGAAGTAAATGATGGGGCATGTTCTCAAAAGATTCGAGTATAGTGAGAAAAAGAAAAGAAGAAGAGAAGAAGAGAAGGGAACAATGGAATCTTTAACCCCGGCCGTTGACTCGTGACTGCGTATGTAAGCCTATCAGATTCAATCCCATCTTGATGCTTTGACTTTCCACAATTCAGATATCTATCTGTTGTTCTATCTATTGTTCTGGCCATTCTTCTTTGAAACCACTCATCATCGTTATTGTTTTTGAGTCTACCTATGTCAAGGCATACGTTTCTTTACAAATACAGCTTCCTGGTTGGCCAAATCCGATCTCTCGGGGCCATCAATGGCTATTTTTGGTCCCATGGCAGAGGTTCCCACTTCCAATGTTGTGAAGCCATCACATATCAGTACACTACATCCATGTACCTGTAGTTGACGAGTGTAAAAAGTGAATCTCAGAATATGGTTTGGACATGGACTTTGACCATTACGCCTGCTAAGTGTTCCCTTTAATCTTTGTTTGAGGGGTATCATTATCATGCATCTGAGCAATTCGAACCGGTTACAGCTGCTGCTTCACCAACTCGAGGATCTGTTGGGCCTTGACACCCTCCAGATACTCACGACCTTCCTGTCGCCATTCATCTTCCTCGTCTTCGTCGTCCCCAACCTCCAAATCCACCTGCAGACTAGCGTTGTATGCACCCATAACCGTCTCTTCATCCACACGCACTCCGTTCTGTACTAAAACTCGAATACATTGTGCCAACCGTGCAATTTCCCGGCGTGTCTGTGGCGGGATATCGTCGTTCTGGCTAGAGTAGATCGAACTCGATACCATCTCTTCCATGCGCGTAATGGAGATATTCTCAGTAGTTGCAGATGCAGCATCGGCCCCATCTGTGTGCTTGGAGATAAAGATGTACCCGTTCACTCCGAGGATAATATTAACCTCCCCACCACCATTGGCAGCGGTAACGGTCCACACCTGGCGACGAGACCGCACCACACCGCCAGTACCAGAACCTCCAGGAGCAGCCAAAGCGCTGCCTGCAGTTGAATTCCCAGCTCCCACGCCACCCTTGACGCTAGAGCTAGACGCAGCGCTACCTCCGGTTCCTGTAACGGCAAGGAACACACCGTTGCGCAATTTCCCGTACTTCAGGGACCGTGTGTGTAGTGATGCAGACCCATCCTGGTGCACGCTCTGTACTTCAGCAACTACAAGATCGCCTTCGCTGAAAAATGTTCGGATCTGGAGCTCATCAGCGCTTGTTCGTCGACGCAGAATACCGCCGGGTAAGTTGATTGCGGAAAGAGGGAGCTGAGCGAGTAATGGCGCGGCGACATCGACCTTCCACCGTCGTGATTGCACTTCGACAATGCGGCCAACGACAAGATCTCCAATCTCGGGGGTATAGCGGGCGCGCAGAGGGTGAACAGATAGTAGCTTATTTGTCTTTTGAACTGTGCCGGCAACAGTGGCAATGATAGATGTCGAGAGCGGGTTCATGTAGGTGCCATGACCTCTGTGGATTGTTAGTGTTGGAAAAAAAGAAAAATGACGATGTGAGCCCCGCGTTTTTTCTGCGCAGTCTTCAAGGTTGCACTAACCTCATCCATTGCGGATCATCTGTGACCACTTCTCCTGGTGTGACAATTCCTGTGCCAAGATTCGAGTTTCCCTGTAGACGAGGTCGTTTGTGAGGCCGAGAGATGCCGGTCATTTCGACGTCCTCCTCGGAGCACACGGACACATCGTCCTCTGAGTCGGCTTCGTAGGAACGGACATCCTCCACCACCGGGGGAAGAATAGTAATTGCCATTGCAAAGGATGTTGTCTATGGTCAATTGCGGCTGACCTCAAAATGGGAATGGAGGCATCCAGATGGGTTACTAGAGAGAAGAAAACCCAAGTCACATGATGGCTCCACCAAAGCCACGAACTTTCAAGGACATTTTCAAAGCAGACTGGATAGGAGTTATCTAGATACTTCATGAAGATTACATATCCACAACCATGTTTCAAATGAGAAAACATTGTTAAGAAAAATCCGTCATTTCATTGGAAAATAGAAAATCAAGCCAACGCCAAGATTAATACACAAAATACTCCTTTTTGCAAGGCAACTGCTCAAGGCTTTTTGGCCATTTTGCTTGGGTTGGAAGTAGGCTCTTCCTTCTTCTTTTTTGACCGGCTGCTACCACCCTTAGGTCTGTAACCAGTGTCCTCTTCCCGCTTGCGCTTGTTCTTGGGAGTAGGATGGGCCTCTGTCCCATCCTCATCATACATATCCTCATCTTTGCGCTGGGCGGGCGCTCGCTTGGAAGATCGCTGATTGGAAGGGCGTGATGCAGACTTTTCAGAAGCAATCTCATTATCCTGGAGAGTCTGGGGTTGGTTGCGACGCAGCCAATTGTACACAGATGCGGGATTCCGCATAGAAAGATCACGCTCACGCTCTGCAAACGTTGGACGATCTGGTATGCGTGCGAGTTGCGTAGCAGCCGCCTCATCGCCTAGCTTGGCGTCCAAGGCGAGGTAATATTCAGTCTCGTGCTCAGGTGTAAAGTATCCGAGTTTGCGTTCACAGTCATTGTCAAGCTTCTTTTCAATGGTGTCAGGACTGATGTGATGTGTCCGCGACAGGGAGCTGTACTGCTGGGCGGGTGCAAACGCCTTGTTTCGTTTGATATTATCCTCAATCATACGGTAAGCATTTGTATCAATGCTACCAGCAGCTAAGCCAGCCTTGGCTTCTTTCCACGCTTGTTTTGCTAGTGTTGCATCGTTGATCAAAGGTACAATTTCCTGCTCGGGTGTTGGTAGCAAGGGAGGATCGGTTGGCATGCTCAGATCAAAACGCACATCGGGAGAAACGTGAAGGCTTTCATTGAACTCGAGGAGAACTTCCAGCAGTTGACTAGCAGCAAGAAATTAGCAGTTATTCACACAGGAGATTGATTTGCGAGTCTCATACTCATTTTGCTCCTGAATGCGCTTGGACAGGTCCTCTATGCGCAATTCTTCCCGGATCAAATTCTCATTCGCTCGAGTCCCTAGCTCGAACCTGACTTTCAGCTTGGCATATTTCTTCCTGGAGGGAACAGAGAAGTCAGCATTGCCCGATGAGCTTAATATGAGGACTCGTACTTGAAGGACCGGACTGATTGCTTTGCAGGAGCCTGAGTGGAACTTGATACATTTGGCAAACTCTCGGACACACGGTTTTCGTTTGATTCAACCATGGTGTTGTGGCAGAAAGAAGTTCAGAGGAGATGAAGGGGAGGTGGTCACCCTGCGCGTTCGCGCCAAGAAGCGGATCGGGCTGCGTGGGAGGCGGGTCCTGGCCGCCGTAAAAAAAAATTATTGCCAATTTGGATTTCGTGTGACCAGAAACAATCGTTCAGGTTTTTGATAGATTGACTATTATCCTAGTGGTCATCATACTATTTACAACTTTTGCAATATGTCTGAACTCACTGAAGGCATTCAAAAGAAGCGTAAGCTGCAAGACGGTCCTGAGCTTGAAATCGATGTCTCTGCACCCGAGCCAGTCTCAAAAAAGGCCCTGCGCAAAGCGAAAAAGAACAAAGGAGGCGATGCCGGTATTGATGAAAACCCCAAGTCCAGCAAACCCAACAAATCTGAATCCAAAGAAGCTGAAACAGAAGGGAAGCGGTCCCAATATGGTATCTGGATTGGAAACCTATCATATACCGTGACCAGAGATGAGCTGCGCATGTTTTTCACGGTCAACTCCGACATCTCCGAGTCATCTATCACTCGAATTCATCTCCCCAAGGGCCCCGAAAGATTTGGAAGGTCGCAGAACAGAGGCTTTGCTTACGTCGACTTTACCGACAAGAAGTCCTTGCAAGAAGCAATTGGCCTAAGCGAGCAGCTTATGACCGGCCGCCGCGTCCTCATCAAGGATGCAAACAATTTTGAAGGTCGCCCTGAAAAATCCGAAACTCAAGAGAATTCCGCGGGTGCGGCCAAGTCTGGCCACCCCCCCTCCAAGCGAATCTTTGTCGGTAACCTAAGCTTCGATGTGACCAAGGAAAACCTCGAGGAAAACTTCGGTAAATGTGGCACTGTTACCAATGTGCATATGGCGACTTTCCAAGATACCGGAAAATGCAAGGGTTATGCGTGGGTGGAGTTTGAAGATCTCGCTGCCGCAGAAGCAGCGGTGAGAGGATTCATGTTGATCAAGGAGGATGACAAGGAAGAGGATTCCTCCGACAGTGATTCTGACTCGGCATCTGAGAAGACGAAGAGGAGGTCGAAGAAGCTAAAGCCCCGGATGCAAAGGGTCTGGGTGAACCAGCTTATGGGCCGTCGTATGCGAATGGAGTTTGCAGAAGATGCGTCTACACGATACAAGAAGCGCTTCGGAAAGGATGCCGAGAAGAAGGATGAACCCGCCATCACCGAAGTCGATGGCGAATCACGAGAAAGACCCCGACACAAGAAGAGACGTGAATCGATCGATGAGTCTCGCTACTCCAAGGAAACCGTCCAGAAGCTCAGTGGCGCCATTGTCGAGGGCCAAGGTCAGAAGACCACATTTGACTAAGTAAATCATCTGCGATTCGTGGAGTGTCATCTACGGTCTCTCTACGGAACCATTCAACCATCTCATACACAATATGTATCAGTGTAATACTGATATACCTGTCACCTGCCAATGACCTGCCTGCAATCGATGTGGCATTGGGATCAAATTCCGATAGTGGTCTACCCTGCAACTCAAGCGGGACCTTTGTTCCAATTTTCTCAATGTTTGTACGATCTCTCAGATATCCATGATCATCGAGTCTACTACTCGATGGCTCAGCCTGCAGTGGAATGCGCAAGAAAATACATGTATTCTTCCGGATACCACAACATCTGGCATGCATTCTAGGGCGCAACTTCGATTTTACCAGAAATGTAGCAAAAGTCCTTCATACAATCTCACTTTTATATTCCAGCTTTTCTATAGTTGTCAATGTTTAGTTCGCCAGACACTAACCAAATCCAGCAAACCTTGGGAAAACAATTCTAGGCCCAATCGTGGCAAAAATCGGCTTCACCGCCTGGACTAGGCCCGATCAGGCCTGACGTCTCTCGCGATGTCATGCCCTTCCTCTGAACTCGAATCTCTCTGTACTTCTCATCTCTCTTGGGCTGCATCTCCTTTCTTCTCCCCCCTTACTCTTTCTCTTCGTTTTCTTCACTTTGGTTATTATTCTTGCACAAGGTGTCTTTTTGTTTCTTCTAGCCTATCTTAGTATTTTGATCTTTCTTGGTTTCATTTGCCATCCTACAGGCTTAACGTCCTTCAACGCCCGTCCTCACCAGACTCAATTTTCTAAGCCAATCAGGTCCCAAAAGCCACGCATTCAAGTGTGTCAACAGGAAATAATTAAGCCCCCAAGTAATAAATCGCTTGCGTTTGCAACATGGCTCCTCTTCGACGTCATATCGGGGCCAGTCGCAGAAAGAGACGGGAGGAAGATGGTGAAGAAGAGGGTTCAATGGCTGGCGACATGGGAGACGACTCCTTGAGTGAAGACTCGGCCGACAGTCACCAAGAGGACGAAGATGCAGACGGAGAAGTCAGCGAAGAGAGCGAGGACGAGGTTTCCACGTTGGATAAGGCGGGCAAGGTCGACGGTCGTGGGGTGGACAACCTTACACAAAATAGGTCTGCATCGCCTGAAAAGCGAGGACTCAAGACAACTGTTTCAGATACAGAGGCAATGTTAAACGACATGAAGATTACAGACGGTGCGGGCGACGCTGTGGGAGTCCATTTTGACGATCTGAAGGAACAGCGGGAGCCTTACACTGGCAGAACGCCTTCCGCTCCTCCAACCGAACCAAATCGAAACAACTTGGCTTCCAGAAAGCGCCGCGAGAATGACAAGTATGTTAAGGAACGAGAGCAGAACCCAGCCTTCGTCCCCACTCGCGGCAACTTTTTCCTTCATGACAAGCGATCCACCGACAACGGTTCCCGGCTCAAGAGCAAGTCTCGCCCTTATGGCCTTATAGTAGACGGCAGCTCTCGCAGGTATGTTATGTTCTATTCCATCCTCCCATCATGTTTCTTACCAACTTGTCTCAGGTCTTCTAAGCCCGATGCCAGCGGAGGGCAGTGGGCACACGATCTCCATGACACCGTAGCTGAGGACCGACCTATAACAAAGCGCTCAACACCACCCGTGATGCCTAATACCAGCATCTCTGTCCCCACCGCTCCGAGATCTTCCCCGCCCAATCGGTCCTTCTCTAGCACGACATTGGTTGGGAACGTACCTGTCGTTGTTTCATTGCCCGGCATGGCCAACCCAATTCAATTTTCCTCTGTGCCTAAAAAACTTCACACCAGGCTACCTCAACATCGACCCCCCTTGCGACGCGACAAGCCGGTACGAATTTCTCTTCCTAGCCAGCCGCCCCGATACATCTTCCCCTCTGTTGAACGTTCCTTTATCTTCATCCCCCGAGCGTTGCGGCCGAACCAAGTCTCTCGTGGCCGAGGTGCCCGTGGCGGCGGCTGGTACAGTGGACGACGTCCCAGCTACTATCCCAACTCATCTTACACGCCGAGCGTTGTCAGTCGTCGATCTTCGTTTGGCATGCCACCTTCTCAAGATGGGTGGCCATCACCTGCTGGTTCTGTCTACTCCAGACCCATAGTTTCCACCGACCCTAAGCCCGTTGTCCGCCTTCCCCCTCAACCTCGTCCGCATATAGGGATCCCACCATTTGGGCCTGCGATGGCCATGTCTCTTCCCCACCCGGACTATCGTGAAAGCTGCCCCGCCCCGATCCCCATGCACCAACCTCGTCCTCAGAAAACGGTCTCCGTTGCGGATATTGAAAGTCCGGCGACTTTTCCGTTCGCTTTCAACCCGCCTCAGCCCCAGCATGAGCAGCCCTTCCATCATCAGGTCCCTCTTCCAGCCCATGGCCCACCCAGCCAGCCTTCAGCCACTCCGCTTTCCCAGATTCCGGAGCGGGCGATCCACGCACCGCCCTTCCAACCTTACAATTATCATCAACCTGGCTTCTACCCCCCGAGCTATCCTTCAGGCATGTACTACCCGCCCTCAGGCCCCGATTATGCGGGCTACAATGGACCCGTAGGGCCCGGACCCTCTGTGCCAAACTTTCCGGGCCAGCAAGCAATCCCGTATCTAGCTGGGGAGCAGCTCCCTCCACCGGGTACTGTTGCTCATGAGTCTGGTGGCACCGTCTACTTTTACGATGCCAATCAAATGTACGGAGGTCCCATATCAGGGCCAGGACCTGGATCTGGACCTGGGGGTGTTGTTGGCATGGGTGGAATGATGACGCCGCCAGGCACGACTTTCTACTATCCTCAACAGGCCGGTCAATATTATGGGCAGTGATGAATGATTTGGGGGCTTCCTTTTTCTTTTATGTTTCTGGGGGTTTTTTTGATCTCACAGGAATCTTCGATTTCCACCAATTCTTTCTTTCTTCTCAATTCTCTCTCAGTTTTCTTTCAGCTCACTCCAGGATCTGCAGGGGTGTTTGGTTCACTTTGCTTTTTCTTCTTTTCTTTTCTCTTCTACTTTTCAATTTTTCAACCTGCATTCACACATTCTCTAGCCAAGTTTGCCTCGATTTTTGCCCTCTCAATTTCCCCCCTAGTCTTGATTCATTTCCTGAATTTTGATGCATTTGAGCGTTTCCCCTTATCTCCGCAGCCTTTCCCTCATTGTCCTTGGCCTTGGGGAATATCACGTCTTGATTCTGGCCCTTCCTCAGCCCATCCAAACCCTCTCAATACCCTTCAATCTCCTCCAATCGGGCAATCGGATCCCCGTTCTGCATTGACCCAGTGCCTGACATCGTATTTCTCGTCCTGCTTTCTATTTGATGATCTCTTTTACTCCCTTCGCCGGGTGTTTTGATGAAGACGAATAAGAAAAGTTGTCGTAACTAATCCCTCTAGTCCATGTAGATGCGCCGTGTTTTTCTTGGCACTTCTCGGGCCTTTTGAACACGTCATGTGGTTATGTAATGCACTTTAAGAGAAAACTCTCACCGCCTTCCATGTCAGTTCGCAGCAGCTGACCGTTCTCTCCGCTTTTTCCCTTCAATTCGACAGCTTCTTGTACAACTCCCCTCTTGTTTTCCTTGAATATCCTGCATCTTTTCCTTTCCCTCTTCATCATAAAAATCATCATCATTTTCTCGAGCATTTCGTTCTTATTCGTAACTCAGTGCCCTTTTTGTCCTTTCTCACCCATCATCTAAGTACTGGTGCCTGATCTCAAAGGTGTATCCACCCTTTGACTTTCACATCATCTACGATGACAACCCCAGCAACTACATGTCATTCGGGTCCAGAGAATCTGATAACTGTCAAAGTACTTTACAATGACAGTAACCGTCGTTTCAAGATGCCTCTCAGGGAGCTGAAGGCCCAGGTGTTTCCCCAGATGGTAAGTCTCCACTCAAGCTCAAGCTCCGGATCTGTACTCCGTAGTCCGACTCCATTCCTTATCTCCAGCGAGCATCGGATCAACTTTTCCATCTTCCAAATGTTTTGTTCCAACTTCCCCCCCCCAAAACTACGCATTTTTTTTCGCAAGCTGATTTGACGGGTTTGGTTTAGCTTAGGAAATTGCTCGGGATTCCGGCGGATGTCAACGTCATCCTTGAACGCTATTCCGACAGTGCTGGTTCTTACGTTCGCTTAGACTGTGACAATACCGCAATCTACAAACAACTTTACCGGGCTGCCAAGGCCAAGTCAAAGCTCCGTATCAAGGTTACTACCCTTACTTCCCAAAACACATCTGCTCCAGCACCAGTACTATCAGAACCCACCGTGCCAATGGAGTCAACCAACTACATTCGTCACAGTTATCTCGAAACGGTTTTGGGCCCTCTGGCACCTCCCGATACCCTCCCTCTCATTAATTCGGTTCAAGTTCCTCATCCCACCGGTAAAAAGGAGTTGCCTCTCTGTCAAACTCGCTATCGCACCTTCGAGATGGACCAAGAAAAGCATCAGTTCCCGGTTATCTCTCACTCCTCGTCCAACGGGATGTTCTGCATTGACTGCAATGACTGTGGTCGTTCTATTGCAAATGCGCATTATCACTGCAGCATTTGCGAGAACGGGGACTACGATCTGTGCCTACAGTGTGTCGGTGCCGGCGCATCTTGCCGAGGCGAAGGTCATTGGTTGATCAAGAGGACTGTCAAGGATGGTGTCGTCACAAACAGTACAACCGAGACTATTGCCCCTTGTAATCAATCAGCGCTGGGGTTCAACCCCGTGCTGCCTACTCAAATTCAGCGCGAGGTGATCACCAAGCCTGTGGTCCACGTCTCCGAGTCGGTCCCTGAGTCAATCCTAGAGTCGGTGCCAGAGCCAGTAGCCCCAACGGCCTGTTTGGATGCAGCTATTCAGGGTGATGACAACCCGATTTGCAATGGATGCTGTCGTGGTAAGTTTTCTCTTTCCCAGTTTCCTTTCTCTCTTATCTTTGTCTTCTCTTTGCTGACAATGCACAGAGGCCGATGAAAGCAATCTCGTTCGCTGCAATGAGTGCGAGGACTATGATCTTTGCCTTCGCTGCCTCCTCCGAAATAAACATGGACACCACCCTGGCCACACCTTCCATCTTGGATCTGACCGGAACTTCTGCTTGAAAAATCTCATCACCTCTCGCTGCCTTCCCGGTCGGCAGTTCCGACACGCCGCTGTCTGTGACGGCTGTGAAAAGGTTTTTACTCATTCAACCCACTTCAGAAGCACTCGGCTGATTTTTGCTAGCGAATCGTTGGGGTTCGTCACAAGTGCTTGGCCTGTCCCGACTGGGACTTCTGCCCCGACTGCATCTTGACTGCTCCTCAGAGCCACCCGAGTCATAGATTCGTGCAGGTTTATGATACAATCGGCGAACCTGCTCGGGAACAGGAAATCCACTATGGCATATTCTGCGATGGTCCTCTGTGCAAGAGCAAGCCTGCCAAGAGTTACATCAAAGGAGTTCGCTACAAGTGCGCTGTCTGTGATGACACCGATTTCTGTGCGAGCTGCGAGGCCCTTCCGACCGACCATCACAACCACACTCATCCGCTGGTCAAGTTCAAGACTCCGGTCCGCAATGTGTCTGTAAGCACCATGGGCGACGACGGCCTGAGTGGAGCAGCTGCCCTGGGTGACCAGCATCATACCATCACTCGGCCCATTGACCGGGCCGAGCTTGAGGAGCAGGAACCTGCTGAGGTGGATGCCAGTAGCAAGCCTGTGGAAAAGGTTGAGCCTCGGCCTCTCATGAGCAAGCCCATTCCCGAGACCGATAGCTCTGTTTTGTCGGACTACAAGGCATTCTTCATCCGTGATACTATCACCGACGGTACCAAAATTGCCCCAAACACTACGTTCCGCCAGACCTGGACTCTCTACAACCCTGGTCCTTCAGCTTGGCCCGTTGGCTCTGATGTGCGCTTCGTCGGTGGAGACAAGATGTTCAACGTCGATGTCTGTCACCCATCTAGCGTCGAATCTATTCGCTCGGCCATGGAAAGCAATAAATTGCTCGCCCCTGTGGAGTTGGGCGAGAGTGCTGACTTTACTGTCAACCTTCGCACCCCTCACCACCTAGGCCCTGCTATCTCCTACTGGCGTCTGAAGCTCCCCAATGGCGTGGCCATCGGTCATCGTCTGTGGTGTGATGTCGAGGTGCAGACCGAAGAATCCGACACCAGCGACACATACCCCGCTGTGTCTGAAATTGCCGTCAGTGGTATGATCTTCCCCAAGCTGGAGAAGGAATCTCCCGAGTCAAGCACTCACCAAGCAGAGGCTCCTGCGCCACAGGCACCGACCTTGTCAACTGCTTCGGAAGTGGATGTTCTCGAAGACGTTGAGAGCCTGACTCTGGACGATGCTTCTACTGACGCCGACATTGGCCTCCTGACTGACGAAGAATATGACTTTCTTGATGCCAGTGATCAGGAATATCTTGAGGCCAAGCAGTTCGCAAACTGAAAACTGTTTGGGAAAAGCCATCACGACATGACATGGGATTTGGGAAATTGCACAAGTGCCTTATTTATTTATTTTTTTTTTCGGACTTTGTCGCAGAGGTCTAGTCATTCTTGGAGTGACTAGACCTTAATGAGAGTGCTATCTATACAAAAACAGAAAAAAAAAGAGCTGCATCTTCTTTTGCCTAGGATAGTTTAATGCACTTTGCTTCTTGTTCTAACATTCTGTTTGGCTACATCCCGAGACCATACAAGCGTAAATTTATGCTTGAATCTCTGGCCTATTACCTCCCGAGTTCACGAGTTCAACTTGCAAGACTGTAAGATCAGAAACAGCAACAAAATATGCTGATCTCTGCACAGATGTCCCGTTCAATTGAACGAAGTGAGGGGCTAGGATATGCTCATTAAAATGGGGCCATTTCACTTTTTCAATTCATCTTTGGTTTCATTCCTCATTCGCAACTAAATACAATGGGATTCGGCACCACAATCAGCCTTGGCCTTGTCGCTCTGATCGCCTTTTTGGCTGGTCCCATCCTCCATCTCGTGCAGGTTGCGGGAGTCTTCCTTACTCTCAATCCGACGGTGCTTGGTGAAGGCCAAGGCCCAATCCAGATCGAAGACACCATCCACTGTGAGGACGTGCATCACTATCTCCCCGCGAATCTGCTTTTCACTGCCTGCGAGGACGACAAGAGCACACGATTTAGCTGGTTCCCGCCATTAGGCCACATGCTGCCACGCACAACCCAGGGTTCTATCCATGTTGTAGATCCCAAGGTGAGTTTGTTCACATATCGAAAACCAAATTGCCAACCCCTAATCTCCGGGGGTAGACTATGAAATCAACCCGTCTGGCATTCGAAAACTTCCAAGGTCCCTTCTCGACACATGGAATCGATGTCATTGAGGATCTTGAGCAGGCAGACGCTGTCTATGTCTACGCTGTCAACCACCTACCAAATGCGGCATACTCTGAAGCCGGCGAGCCCAAAGCTGGATCTCAGATCGAGCTCTTCCACCACATCCTGAACTCCAATTCCATCAGACACGTACGCTCAATCAATCACCCACTCATTAAAACCCCAAATGACATCTACGCGATCAGTCCCATATCCTTCTACGTCACCAATGACCACTTCTACCGCGAAGGTCCCATGCGGCTCATCGAAGATTTCTGGCGCTCGGCCAAGTGGTCCAATATCATCCATGTGCAGATCGCCGATCTAGCAAGCAAAGATGCCCCCATCGAAGCCTCCGTCGCGCTCACGGGTCTATGGAACAACAATGGTCTCGGTCATGGTCGCACCGACAAGGAAATCATCATTTGCAGCGCCATGGGTGGTGAAATGTTCCTTGCAACCCAACACGAGTCCAACCATTCGATCTCTGTCGATACCTCGGTCTCCTTTAATTCACTCGCGGATAACCCGTCCTACTACCACGACCCATATCGCACCGACTCGCATGATGCGAGTGGATTCCTTGTCGCCGGCGTCTCACAGGTTATTCGCTTAACGGCAAATTCCAGAAATCCGGATGCCTTGGATCCTATCCAGGTGTGGCACACTGCTCTCAATTCGCGCACTGGTGTCTGGGAGAAGAAGCTGCTGTTTGAGGATGATGGGTCCAGGATTCGGACTGCGAGTGCGGCTGTTTTAGTACCCATTGAGCCCAAGGTTGGTGGTGAGAAACTTGCCTGGCTGTTTGTAACTGGGTTCATGTCGGAGAGCATGGTGGCTGTACAGGTTGAGCTGTAAATAGATATTTTATGTGTTGTGGCAATACGAATTCAAGACTGTTGCATTTAGGTATTGGATTTGTTCTTTGCCCTAACTTTGTACCTCCCTATCACCAAGTGCTCCCGCAGATCTTCCTCTATCTCACGCTTTAATAAAAGCGAATTTTTTTTTCTGAGCAGAAGAGAGAGCTTGGACTTCATTGGGAAGTGCTTGCATAGCTTAATGGGTCGATTGGCTTTTGTTCCAAGCGTATTTACTTTTGTACCCTCCATAGTTAAGCCGAAGTAGACAAAGGGGTCACGAACATAGCTCAGGTACAAAGCCAGATGTGACCGTCTTTGTAGACGAATTTGAATTCGGTTGAACAGAAAGCATGTAGATATCTGAAATTGAAGTGCTAGCGCCGCGGCAATGCAACAAAGTGGAAAACAGATAGAGGGTCAAAAGGCAAAGGTAAATAACAAGATTCATAAAAACACCAAGTTTTACACCCCATTCATCACATCATTTGATTTCTCTGCTTTATCTGTCCGATTTGCCCAATGGGGTCTGGGAAGAGAATGAACAGTACTTGTCCTTGATCGCGATAACCTCGTAAGTTCCTTCATCAGAGGTCTTGATCGTCTTGATGTTTTCGTAAGAGATGTCGTGCTTGATATCAAGGATCTCAGATTTCTTTCCCTTGCGAACATTGGAGCTTCGGATGTATCTGTGAAGGATTAGCAAGACTGTGTGGTATAGACAACCGGGGTAGAAGTTAACAACGTACGTGAATTCAAATGGTGGTGTACCCCAGAACTCAAAGTGAAGCTCGGCTTCTCCACCCTCGTGAATGTCCACCACCGATTCTTTGCCCTTACTGATCCGCACACTCGGCATGGCGTGGATGATCTTGGTGATGTCTTTGTGGGCCTTGCATTTCCCACTGGCTCCGTCACTGACAGCGTTGATGGTGAACCGACCGGGAAGCTCCGCAATACGACGGAAGTTAGTGGTTTGACTAGTGGCCTTGCGCCTGGCGCCGTCGAAGGTGTAGAACACGTCAAATGGAGCATGGCCCGACAGCGAGAATGAAAGCCGTTCACCCACACAGTAGTCCACCTTGGACTCGAGCGGAACAATGGTAGGAACATCGGAAATGGCGACCCGCACCGAGGAGGCATCGAGATCAGTGGTCTTTTGACATCCTCTAGAATCACGAACCTTGTGGATGCTGACTTGGTGTTGCCCCAAGTCAAGATGGCGACGAGGAATCAGCAAATTGTGGCGATTGGAGGTAATCTTGGAGATCGTGACAGTCTCAGGTTTGGCGTTCGAGTGGTGTTTGATGTTGATCTCCAGGGAGAACGGTGGGACACCCTCTAAAGTAATGGGGATGGATTCCTCGCCGTTGATGTCTTCCTTGCAGAAACCAAAGACATGGCCAGGTTGGTCGAATTTAGCAGACGGTAGCGGGTTGACCTTTTGTGTCACAACCAGAGCTTTGCTCTTGGGATCGTGGTCGTAGAGACTGTCACCAACTTGTGTGAATTTGTAGCTGTATTCTCCAGCCTCGGAGGTATCCATCTCCATCGAAGTCACATGAAGGGCGGATTTCAAAGCCCGTGGTTTCGCCGCAGAGATTCCTCCACGGTCCGCCTTGCGTCGCTTCTCGTATTGAACACTGTATGGAGGATTGCCCGACAGCCGAACCTCGAGGCTATCATCGTCGCCTTGACAGACCTCGGACTTTGCAAACTCCTTGACGGAGCCGATGGGAGAGCCGTCCAGGGCAGTGATTTGAGGCCGTGGAATCCACGAGACCTCAAACTCATTTGCAAACTGGTCCACGGTTCCAGGACAACCGGCGTCAAAAACCTCACTGATCTCATAAAGGCCCTGCTTGTCGACGGTCAAGATGCTGTTTTCGTCCCAGAAGTTTTTCTGAACAGGCGCCGGGTCCACATCCACATTCTTATACTTGACAGTCCAGGGGCGTTCGCCACTCAGCCTCAACGGAATCTCAATCTTGGAGCCCTGCAAAGCCAAGACACTTCTCTTCTTGTCAATCTGACCGAAAGAGACGTGCGGAGGCTGTGACCGGGCTCCAATATTGATGCTGTCTTTGAGAGTTCGTTTGCAACCAGACTTATCCTTGACGCTGGTCAGAGATACGGTGTAGTCACCACCACTAATCAGTTTGTCAGTGGTGATAGTTGCTGTATTGGCATCGGATTCCAGTGTCTTCCTAATTCTCTTCCCATTGTGGACGATCTCATATTGCAAGACCCATGGAGCCTCTCCAAGGAAAGACACCTCCACAGAAACCGCTTCACCGAAACAGGCGGTTCTCATTTTTTTTGATAAGAACTGAGCCGAAGCTGGCGGTTTCACATCTTGTTCAAGCACCGGTATCTTGAGAGACCGCGGCGAGTAGACGGCATCCTCAATGTCTATAAAACGGTAGGTGTATGAGCCAGCTTCCGACGGGGTGAAATCAAGCTGGGTGCGCATTCCATCGATGGCTTGTACTTTGGAAACAACGCCCTTGGAGCTCTCAATGCTGTATCGGAGAGAGAATGGAGGCGATCCCGTGAGATCCAAATCCACGAGTAACCCAATGGCGTTGTTGGCACAGCGGTCAAATATCTTTTCAGCCTTGACGGTCAATTCTGGCTCAGGCGGGTTATACAAATAGCAAGATGAAGGCTCGAGGATATCTCCTGGGCAAAACTTCGTAGAGACTGATGTCAAGGCATACAAACCAGACTCTTTGATGTCCAAAGTCTGATTCATATGCTTGAGTTCGGCGGTGTGTTCATGTGCTGCTGCTTCTTGGGTGTTGCTTGTGTACGAGTAACCGACCGAAAAGGGACCGTCACTAGCATATGCGTTCCCATCAGGATGAAAGCTAAGGGGGAACCTCGTGCTGTCTCCCTTGGCCACTTGCAGCGGATTCTGAGAATTGCAATTTTGCAGTGACAACTGCGGGCGCTCGTGAACAGAGAACTGGTACCACTGGGATTGCGATTTTATGGAAGGCCGGTCTCCTTCATCAAAGATGGTAGAATAGTTGGCTACATTTCCAATAGCATCATGGACCTCTTCGATGGTATAGAACCATTCTCCGCCGTCATTCAGTGATTCGTTCAATGGAACCTCAATCTTTTGGCTCTGCGCCCACGAAACGTCGGGCTGGTTGATGCTGTACAGAGCAGCAGTAGTTCTTCCATTGAGCAGCGGAGAGCGTAGATGATCGGGTTGGATATTAAGGACCGAGAATCCACGATCAAGATTGTTGACCTGGCGACTGTATTTGATCTTCAACGGAGGCGTGCCTTCCACTTCCAGTTTGAAGTCGGACAATTCTCCTTTGCACTTGTCGATGTGTGAGTTTTTGATCAAGGCTCGCGGGCAAGAGACCACCAGTGCATCAAATGTTCGCGTGTGAACGTCAAGCTGAGACTCGTCCACCACCCGTTGAAGACGATAGACACCAGTCTTGCGAACAGGTAAGAGTAAGTCCCGATGGAGTTGACCTGGAACATGCTTCTTTTCCGCCTGCTTTTTGAGAGTCTTCAGCTGCTTTACCGGGATAGTGATGGTTTCATTTTCGCCTGTGTTAATATCCAGACGCAACAATTCGATCAGGACCGGGTCGGTCTGGTTGACGCGGATGGGCAGGTCGATTGTGGATTGCAGAGAATCGAGGCAAAGTGAGTTCCGGTCCGGATTGAGGATGGCAGATCTATAATTAAAGTCAGCGTGATCTTAGGTAGGTAATTTTGAACCAGTTAGACTTACCCCTCAGGCAGAATGTGCACAATTTGCCTTCCCAAAATCAACGACGCATTGTGGATAATATCGCCGGGCTTAACCCTGCGCTCAGAAACTGATAATTCACGATCATATGCCACCTTTACAAGTCCAGTAATCCATGCGGTCCAAGGAATCTGCAGCCATTAGCGAGGGCCAATCAGCGGTCTTAGAAACACAGAGAGAGAGAGAAAACTTACTGGGATGCGGAACATCAAAAATACATTTCCCACGGCGTGAAGCAGAAATAGAGTGAGCGTCGTCGGGAATGCCCACTCCAGCCAAGGTATGCGCAGAGCCTGCAGTCCGACCAAGAAGATTCCATCGATCGTGGCCCATTTCAACAATAGCCAAGTTGAATCCAGGTCATCTGATGCGGTCAAAGACTCGTAAATTCTCCACGCATTTAAGGCAAAATATATGGCAACAACATAGAGTCGTTGGGAGGGAGCATCGATCACATTGGTGGGGATCAGTGGCACATCAGTGTTCGCATTCGGGGGTGGTAGTCTCGAGGCCTTCGAGGCCGATTTGGATGCTGATCTGAGTGGCGTTCGATCGGCCCGAGGCTCTCGTGGCTGTGGTCGCGAAGGAGTCTCGAAAAGCTTTCTCCTTCCAGTTCCAGGGATTGTTTTTGGCGTCTGCGGGAAGGCAGATGGGAGGAGGGGAGTGCCGTTCATGGCATGCTGTGGTTGCCCGGAGCTGGCGAAAGATGGAAGGGATGTAGTTAGAGCACAAAGTTGGCCCTTCTAAAGCTATAACAGAGTTTAAATGAAGTTGAATGAAGCTGTATGAAGCTGTCCAGTGGCAATTCGCGCCTATAGCAGATAGAAAAGAAAGAGACAAAAAAAGTTGGAGACGCGGGAAGCGCGTCGGGAGAAGCTCGGTCCACCCAAAAGACATATAACCTAACCGCTTCTCTATTGTCTTGACTGTTGTGTCTCTATTGGCTACGTCTATTATCTATCTGTTTCTTTAACGATATCATATTTTTCAATATCTGGGAGTCTTTATCTTTGTTCTCCTCCAGCAGAGAAGAGCAAACCTATAATCGTCTCAGCACTGCTTTAATCATAGCTTCTCATTTCAATCTTATCCTAGAGCTCTACAGCTGTTCAGCCTACCTCTACTTTTAGAGCAAAATTCAAGATGGGTTCTCGAATCAAAAGACGCCGCCTGACGGATCCAGAAGATCTCAGTGACGATATTTGCCAGCCTGCGTCCCGCCTGGAAAAAGACAGCTGGAATGGATTTTGCGAAATCGAATCAGAACCGGTATGTCTACCTGGCTATGGCATTAGCAGCTTTTCGCTTAGGAGGGGTTAGGCCTTATTCAATGTGATGCTACGTGAATTTGGGGTCAAGGGTATAATGATCCAAGAAGTCGTTTCTCTCGACGAGGAAATGATGGCGCTCCTCAAGTATGTTGCTCGCGGCCCCTCACTGTGCTCTAATATACAGGCCTGACAGCTGACCATGAGCAGTAATCCTGTTTACGGCTTGATATTCCTCTTCCGCTGGCGTGAAGATAACGGTGGAAAGCAGGAAGCGACTTGCCCTGACGGGCTGTGGTTCGCAAACCAGGTCGGTCTTCTATTCTTTAGACGAATCTTTCATTGCTGATCAAATATGTAGACCGCTAACAATGCTTGTGCCAGCGTAGCACTATTAAACATTGTCAACAACATCCCCGACATTGATCTGGGAGAGAATCTACGATCCTTCAAGAAATTCACCATGCCTTTCACCCCAGCCCTTCGTGGGGATGCAATCAACAACTTTGAGTTTGTCAAAAGGATACACAACTCATATGCACGGTATGCTATTTGACTGTTCTTTACCCCCTAGATACTGACCCAATCTTAGAAAAATGGACATCCTTAACTCAGATCTGCAGCTCAAGACCGAAGCTACCACAAGGAAAAAAGGGCCCAAGGGCAAAGCTTTTGAGGAATCGGACGCCACCTTTCACTTCATTGCATTTATGCCTGTGATGGGCCAGCTATGGAAGTTTGATGGCCTGGAGCGACAGCCACGAGCACTTGGTATGTCTGCACCACAACAAGCATGCTGAGATGGGCCCTGCTAACTCCAGCAGGGGAATGTTCTGAAGACGACTGGCTGGAACTGATCAAGCCCAACCTTCTGGACCGAATGGCTGCATACGAAGAAGAGGAAATTGAATTCTCAATTTTAGGGCTCGTGCGGGACCCTCTGCCTGATCTCATCAACGACTTGGCTGTCAACGTGAGAAAGTTGGAAATTCTCAACCAGCGTGTCACATCCCTCTGCCAATCGTCAGATACGCTTGTTTTGGATGAAACTGTACTTGGTCCTGACGCTTCCCTATCTCTGACACGGGAAGCGATCGATGCAGCGGCGATCCCCCAGGAAACACTTGATGATTACCAGACGTGCTCTGAGAAGAAGCTACAGGAGTACCAGCAGACGATATGTAGGAATCAACAAGGACTTCGCGCACGCATTCGTGAAGAGCAGCAGTCCCACCGGTCGGATGACGAGTACGCAGCCGGACGGCGATTTGACTATGGGCCCGCAGTACGGACTTGGCTTCGACGCTTGGCACAGAAGCAACAATTGCAGGAGTTGTCTGGCCTCGTGGCCTACTGATTGGATGATCGTTTGACGCTTCAATCAGGGTTAAATCTCCTTTTGCAGTTCTCTTCACACGTTTAATTTTAAATTGTCATTTCCAATGCTTATCAAGCTAGTGACGTAGTGACATGACCTCCTTTTTGTAGATTATTCTTTCCCCTTTTCTCTCTATATGACACAAGGCGTTGAATAGACAGTCAGCCACCATTCTCAAGATATGCACTCTATCAAAAGTAACTATATGTATAAGAATGAAATAAGAACAACAAGATTGAAAAGAATGTAACCACGTTCAGAATGTAAAAGCCCTTGGAAAATTAACACCTGAGGTACCCCACCGGGCAAAAAATAGTTCAAACGTCACCGCCTCGAATGTTGTTGAGCTTCTCTTTCTAACCTCCTTTTCGGATGTTCTGTGATTTTGGCGTGGGACTCTCTTCGTGCGAAACTTGATAGTATTATCATTGTTTCTGTATAGAGCCAGGCCCGAGAGACACTTAACCCCCTCAACAACCTCTCTCCAATTTATCTTTCCATCATACTGAACGCCTAGCTCCCTCTCTTTTTTCTCTGTCTCCTTCTTTGCAAATCCTCGCTTGAACACACATCATGTCTGCCACTGCAGTGCCTGAAAAGGCACCAGATGACTCCTCCAAACTGAAGACTTTTCTCTCCATCCTTCGAAAGTATGCAACATTTCCTTGTCCCCCCCCCCCCCCCCCACGCACCGCCTGCGCTGCGCAATACACATAACTACACACCAAACACTAATATGACTGGGAAATAGGTTTGTCGGTGTGGCAGATATCGCTTCGGTTCGTTTTTCACTGCCGGCGCAACTGCTGGAGCCTCGACCAAACTTGGGTAGGCCAATGTTCGTGTTACGTTGTGCGGGGTTGATGCTGACTATGGGTGGCGATTAAGAATATTGGCATTACCTAGATCGACCGGAGACCTTTGCGAGGTCAGCAAATGTGCCCATATTTGGTGGAAGCTTGTATGCTGACTCAAGAGCTACAGCATCGGCAAGTCGGATGATGAGCTAGGTCGAATGTTGGAAGTGTTGCGGTTCTGGTTTACCAAGGATCTGGTATGGTTCGGTTGCTCAGATTCACTTGAACACTTACTGATCTTGCTGCAGAAATATGTCAAGGGGAAACCGTGCAAACCATACAACTCAACGCTGGGTGAATTCTTCCGAGTGAGTAGTAGTGTCTTCGGCATTTCATCCATAACGATTCATTGCTAACATCTTTTAGTGCAGCTGGGACGTTAGTGACAACATCCCCGAAGAAGGAAATCTTCCCGGCATCAAAGCAAGCTCGAATGGCTCCTCCACCGTAACCGACGGCGACGAGAAAGTCAAAGTATGCTATCTCACAGAACAGACCTCCCACCATCCCCCAGTATCAGCGTTCTACATCGACTGCCGCGAGCGAGGTGTCTCAGCGCGCGGATTTGACCAGATCAGCGCCAAGTTCACCGGCACCAGTATCCGTGTGAGCCCCGGCCAGCACAACCTTGGAATCTTTGTGAATATCGAAAAGAGAGACAACGAGGAATATCAGCTGACCCATCCAAACGCCCACCTGGGAGGAATACTGCGTGGAGCGCTTGCAGTAACAGTCGCGGACACATGCTACGTCACCTGCCCCAAAACGGGTCTGAAGGCCATCCTACAGTACATGGAAGAGGGCTGGATTGGCCGGTCACAGAATAAGCTCGAGGGCGTGATCTTCCGTTATGAATCGGACAAGGATACGATCAATCGATTGAAAGATGTGCCAGAGAGCGACGTTGTCGCTCGCATCACCGGCTCCTGGCATGGAAAGATCTACTTCACTCCGGCGGGCACCAAGGAGCCCCGTCTACTCATCGACATCACCCCACTTTACCCCATCACAAAGGACCTGCCTCCATCCGAACAACAGTTGTCCAACGAGTCATTGAAGTTCTGGTCGGGTGTCACAGACGCCATTGTTGGCAAGCAGTTCAACCAGGCTACCAAGCTCAAGCAGGATATTGAGGAACGGCAACGGCAGCGGGCTGCGGAGCGCATTGAAAAGGGTACGGAGTGGAGCCCCCGGTTCTTCACTGGCGCAGTCACGCCGCTGGGTAAGCCCGAGCTCACAGAGGAGGGACAAAATGCTCTGGAGGGAATTCGCACGGGCAAATTCGCTTTGACAGAAAGTACAGTACAGGGCGCATAGATATAAATGTCTTTTCCCTTGACAGTATAAGCAACTTTGGCGTATCTGGCATGCGACCATACAAATATTGAACTTGGCGTCTCTCTGTTTTTTTCCTACTCCCCTCCATTTTGATCTCCTTTTGGGGTATACTTTTATTCTCACTTACATCGACACTATTCTCTAGAAACCTGTTATGTGAATAGCTGTAATGCCATCCCATGATGGTGGTTACAAAAATGAACAGAAGATTTCATCACACATAGGTTCAATAGAACGATTAATCCTACTGAAAAGAAGAATTACAACCCTTTGTCCAAAAGACTAACGCCGCCAGACTCCAATCATCAAGTACATCAACACATAATCCATTATCAGCTTTAGGCTGCGGCGCTGACGACCTTGAACCCTGTACTGACGGTCTTGGTAATCTCTTCGTTCTTATGCGGTAGAAGAGATAAGGCATACGCAACATCGTTCCACTGTCGCTCCGTTTCGCAGCGAGGAAGTCGAGCCGCTAGCTTGTCGGCCAGCTGGCGAGCGTGTTTTTCCTGGGCCAATATCAGTATAGATCATCAGGGACTTAAAAGAGAGAAGAATACATACCTTCTCAACAAAACCGATCAAGAACTTGACGATACGGCGGAGAGACGCTTCATCCAGGTTGCGCTCTGCACTCAACAGGCCGAAGATGTCAACAAAGTGGTTGTACACTGCATTGTCCTTGGTTGCCAATTCTGTGAAGAACATGCGAGCCAGATCAGCGATCTTCTTGTCATCATCCTCCAGACATTTCGCCATCTCGCCCAATTGTCCCTTCACCTTGACTTGGCCTGCTAAAATGAGGAAGGTAAGGGTCATGAGACAGGTGCGCT